ATAGGGGGGGTGAATAGGCGAGGGATGGGGGTGGGCTGAATGGGCGTGGGAGGGAGGAGGGGCTGAATGGGCGAGGGAGGGGGGGCTGAATGGGCGAGGGATGGGGTGGGGGTGAATGGGCGAGGAAGGAGGGGGGTGAATGGGCGGGAAGGAGGGGGCTGAATGGGCAAGGGATGGGGGGGGGGGGCTGAATGGGCGTGGGAGGGAGGGGTAGGGTGTATGGGCGAGGGATGGGGGGCTGAATGGGCGAGGGGATGGGGGGGTGGGGCTGAATGGCGTGGGAGGGAGGTGGAAGGTGAATGGGCGAGGAAGGGAGAGAGGGAGGGGCTGAAGGGTGAAGAGAGAGGGGAGAGGGTGAAGGGTGATGACCAGATAGAGGGGAAACACGAAGCGAGGGACGGAGATGGGCACAAGGGACAGGAGGAAATGGAAAGGGGAAGGGGGGGAGGGGAGGGAATAGGCCCAAGGATAGATAGAGTTCCCTTAAGGGCGTAAGAGGGTGAAGAGTGTAGAGAAAGTGGGGCGTTTAGGGTGCGTGTTGATAGGACGAGGAAGAAAATCATATAAAAAAGTTTGATAAAAAAAAGGAAAAAAGTATAACTAAATGAAAAGAGACAAGGACGAGACAATAAAATAAGCTCGAAACACAGAAAGTCGAAGAGAAAGAATAATGAAAAAAACGAAGGAAAATGAGAGAGGGAAGGAAGGAGAGAAAGATGGTGTGTGTAGAAGAAGGGGGGGCGGCGATTGGTCAAGGAGATGGAGGGTGTAAAAGGTAGAGATAAAAGTGATAAAGGAGTGATTTTGATAACAAGGTGGAGAAGGAGAAGGAGGAGGAGGAGGAGGAGGGAGGAGGAGGAGGAGGAGGAGGAGGAGGAGGAGGAGGAGGAGGAGGAGGAGGAGGAGAGAGAGAGGAAGAAGAAGAAGAAGAAGAAGAGAAGAAGAAGAAGAAGGAAGAAGGGGAGAAGGAGAGAGAGAGAAGGAGGGAGGAGGAGGAGGAGGAAAAGAGAGAGGAGGAGGAGAGGAAAAGGAGAAGAAGAAGGAGAAGAAAAAAGAGAAGGTGAGGATTAAGGGGAGGAGGAGGAGGAGGAAGACGAGATGAAGAAGAGAAGAAGAGGAGGAGGAGGAGGGAGAGGAGGAGGAAGACGAAGAAGAAAGAAGAAAAGGAGAGTGGAGGATTGGTAAGAGATGACTAAAAGTAGGAAGATCTGTTGATAAAGTGCAAAGGGGAAGAGAAAGAGAAAAAAAAATCACAGTTACGAGGTGGGACAAAGGAGAATGAGAGCGAGGGAGAGTGGAGAGAGAGAGAGAGAGAGAGAGAGGAGAGAGAGAGAGAGAGAGAGAGAGAGAGAGAGAGAGAGAGAGAGAGAGAGCGAGATAGACACACACACACACACACACACACACACACCACACACAACACACACACACACACACACACACACACACACACACACACACACACACACACAACACACACACACACACACACACACACACGTACACACACAAACAAACAAACCTTCCCCCTTGGCCCTTCCTCCCCCCCCCTCCTTTGACCGTTCAAAAGCCTCCCTGACGCAGCCGAACCCCGCAGAAGCAACCCCCCGCCCCCGCCCCCGCCCCCGCCCCCCAAGCCAGCAGGCCTACCACAGGGGTCGAGCGCCATCCGAGAGTGCTCTGGCGGCCATCAAGGGATCTTTTTTATAGTCACGACACACTACGACCAGAGGATGACCATCTGGACGGAGGGTGAGCACGCACGCACGCACGCATACTCACTCACTCGCTCGCAGATGGTCACGTGAACAAACACACACACACACATACACGCACACACGCATACACACTCCTCTCTGTGTTCGTCTCTCTTGAAAAGATACGCGTTTTAAAGGTTATTTTGTGAAGCTATTTTCGGGGGGAGGGGAGGGGGTACGGGAAGGAGGGAGAAGGAAGGGGAGGGGGTGGGGTGTAGAGGAGGGGGGCTGGGAGGGGAAGGGGAAAGGGAAAGGGGTAGGGAAAGGGTGAGGAGGGGGCGGGACAATTGATACTCTTCACCCTCCCCCGACCTCAGCTTCCCCTCCTTTTCCCCCCTCTCCCTCCCTCCCTCCCCCCTCCATTCTCCACCTCTCCCCCCTCCCCGACCTCAGCTCCCCCCCCCCCGCAGCGGTATAATTCGATCCAAGTCGCCGAATAACACTCGCGATAAAGATCTGAAACACTTTGCTGGCTCCGGAGCGTTATGGGGAATTTGTTGCAGCTAATGGCTTTTTTTTTTCCTTGAGATGCTCGGTTCCTCCTGTACTTGTATTTTTTTGTTTTGAGTTGGTTTATGCGTTTTTTTTTTTTTTTTTTTTTGTGGAGGCGTGTATATGTTCTCTTTCTGTCTCTTGCTCTTTTTGTCTGTTTCTGTCTCCGTCTCCGCCTCTGTCTGTCTGTCTGTCTGTCTGTCTGTCTGTCTGTCTGTCTCTCTATCTATCTATCTATCTATCTCTATCTCCTTCTCTCTATCTCTCTCTTTCTCTGTCTCTCTCTCTCTTTCTCTCTGTCTGTCTCTGTCTGTCTGTCTGTCTGTCTGTCTGTCTGTCTGTCTGTCTGTCTGTTGTCTGTCTCTCTCTCTCTCTCTCTCTCTCTCTCTCTCTCTCTCTCTCTCTCTCTCTCTCTCTCTCTCTCTCTCTCTCTCTCTCTCTCTCCATTTCCTTCCCTCCTCTCTCTTTCTCTCTTCATCCTTCCCTCCTTTCTTCTTCCCTCCTTCCCCCCATCTCTCTAATGACAATCCCAACAAGACGCCAACATAAACAATCACGGAAAAGAATTAATAACAAATAAAGAGAAAACAGAAGAAGAACAGCGGCAATAACAACAAACTGAGGAACAATAACGAGATGCAAATATCTCGGCAACGGAACTAATCTTGCAAACGCATGCAAGGATAAACAGAAAAGACGCGAAGGTTCCATTCTCTGCAACATCTACATCCGAGAGTATTTACCTCCTGTTTCATTTTTCTTCTTTTGTTATTTCTTTTTCGTAAAAGAAAAAAAAAATGTTTTATCGCCTTTATCCAAGTCGTCCGACAAAGAAGGAATTGTTCCTTGTCTGTGATTCTTCTTCTCTCTCTTTTCCCACTTCCTTTATCATCGTCCTTATGTGCTCTATTTGTTTTATTTAAGTGCTATGAAAGCTGATTTTTTTTTTTAATGTTTACACGTACGATCTTTTTTTGTTTTGAAGGGGGGGCTAGGGACGAGATTCAAGCCATTTGTTATCAAAGGTTCTATGGTTTATTCTACTATTTGCGTTGAAGTCCATTATCTTATAAAGTAATTTTTTCTTTTTTCTTTTTTTTTAAGTGCCAGGTTTTCGTTCTTCTAATAAGAAATTTAAAACTCTACGGACCGTCGACGCCGTGTTTGGTTTAGCGGAGGGAGAGTTCGGAGCGAAGATTGAGGAATGGGGAGGGAGGGGACGGGAGGGGAGGAGGGAGAGGCAGAGGGGAGAGGGAGGGGGGGTTGGGATGGGGGAGAGAGGGAGAGGGGAGGGAAGGAGAGGTTGGGATGGGGGAGGAGGGAGAGGGGAGGAGGGTGTGGAGAGAAGGGGAGAAGGGAGAGGTAAAGGGGAGAGACTGGGGAGGAGGGAGGGAAGGAGGGAGAAAGGAAGAGCGCACCAATTTGCCGATCCTGAGTGGGGTTGGGGGTAGGGGGGGAGTGGAGGAGGGTTCGGTCCGGCCGTATGTCGTGTGTCTCCCTGACTCCCCCGCCCTCATCCCTCCTCCCTTCCCCCCCCCCCCCCCCCCACGGCGATCCGATCCCTCACCGCCCCTTCGTCTCCACCAAATGACCAAACCTCACAACTCACACCTCACGCTCTTCCCCCTCACAGCCTCCCACCCCTTCTCCAGGACTCCTCCCTCCCTCATAACCCCAAAGCCCTCACCCCTCGGGCCCCACGCTCTCCCTCTCCCCTCTCCACCCCTCCCTTTAACCCTCACGCCCTCACACACCCCACCCTTACCCTCACTCCCGTCTCTCCTCACGAAAGAGTCACGCACGGAAACCCACGAAATCCCTCCCGCCATCTCACCACGAAATCCCCCCTCCCCCCAACGAAATCACCCCCTCCCCCACCTCACCACGAACCCCCTTCCCCACCACGAAATCCCCCACCCCCTACCCCCTCCCCCACGCATGCAACTCCCTCCGCCTCCCCAAACCCTGTATCCTTCACCTCCCCCCCCCCTTCCCCGCCAACCCACAGGGCGATTCCTCCCTCCCTGGCTTCTGTTTGTCCCCGAGGTTGTCCCCGTGGTTGTCCCCGTGGTGTCCCTGTGGTTGTCCCCGTGGTTTGTCCCCGTTGGTCGTCCCCGTGTGGTTGTCCCGTGGTTGTCCCCGTGTCGTCCCCGTGGTTGTCCCGTGTTGTCCCGTGGTCTCCCCGTGGTTGTCCCCTGGTTGTCCCGTGGTCGTCCCCGTGGTCGTCCCCGTGGTTTGTTGTCCCCGTGGTCGTCCCCGTGTTGTCCCGTGGTCGTCCCCGTGGTTGTGTCGTCCCGTGGTCCCCGTGTCGTCCCCGTGGTTGTCCCCGTTTGTCCCTGTGTCGTGTGGTTTCCCCGTGGTTGTCCCCGTGGTCGTCCCCGTGGTCGTCCCCGTGGTTCGTCCCGTGGTTTCCCCGGTTGTCCCCGTGGTTGTCCCGTCCCCGTGGTTGTCCCCGTGGTCGTCCCGTGGTTGTCCCCGTGGTTGTCCCCGTGGTCGTCCCGTGGTTGTCCCGTGGTTGTCCCCCGTGGTCGTCCCCGTGGTGTCCCCGTGTTGTCCCCCGTGTTGTCCCGTGGTCGTCCCCGTGGTTGTCCCCGTGGTCCCGTGGGTTCTCCCCGTGTTGTCCCCTTGTGTTTCGTCCCCGTGGTTTCCCCGTGGTGTCCCCGTGGTCGTCCCGTGGGTGTCCCCGTGTGTCCCGTGTGTCGTCCCGTGGTTGTCCCTGTGGTTGTCCCCGTCGTCCGTGGTTGTCCCGGCGTCACCCGTGGTTGTCCCCGTGTCGTCCCCGTGGTTCCCCGTGGTGTCCCCGTGGTTGTCCCCGTGGTTGTCCCCAGTGGTGTGTCGTCCCGTGGTCTCCCGGTCGTCCCCGTGGTTGTCCCTGTGGGTCCCCGTTTGTCCTCGGTGGTCGTCCCCTGGTTGTCCCTGTGGTTGTCCCCGTGGTTGTCCCGGTGTCGTCCCCGTGGTTTGTCCCCGTGGTTGTCCCCGTGGTTGTCCCCGTGGTCGTCCCCGTGGTCGTCCCCGTGTTGTGTTGTCCCCGTGGTCGTCCCCAGTCCTGTGGTTGTCGTCGTCCCGTGGTTGTCCCCGTGGTCGTCCCCGTGGTTGTCCCCGTGGTGGTCGTAGTGGTTCCCCGTGTCGTCCCCGTGGTCGTCCCCGTGGTCGTCCCCGTGTTGTCCCCGTGTCGCCCGTGGTTGTCCCCGTGTGTTGTCCCCGGTCCGTCCCCGTGTTGTCCCGTGGTTGTCCCCGTGGTTGTCCCCGTGGTCGTCCCCGTGGTTGTCCCCCGTCCCCGTGGTTGTGGTTGTGCCCCGTGGTTGTCCCCGTGGTCGTCCCGTGGTTGTCGTGGTTGTCCCGTGTTGTCCCGTGTTGTCCCTGGTCGTCCCCGTTGTGGTCGTGTCGTCCCCGTGGTTGTCCCCCGTGGTTGTCCCCTGGTCGTCCCGTGGTTTTCCCTTGTCCCCTGTGGTTTGTCCCCAGTGGTTGTCCCGTGTCGTCCCCGTGGTTGTCCCCGTGGTTGTCCCCGTGGTTGCCCGTGGTTGTCCCCGTGGTTGTCCCGTGGTTGTCCTGTGTTGTCCCGTTGTGTCCCCGTGGTGTCCCCGTGGTCTCCCCGTCGGTTGTGTCCCCGTGGTGGTCCCCGTGGTTGTCCCCGTGGTTGTCCCGTGGTCGTCCCCCTGTGTTTCCCCGTGGTTGTCCCTGTCGTCCCCCGTGGTTGTCCCCGTGGTTGTCCCCGTTTGGTCGTCCCCTGTGTCGTCGTCCCCTGGTTGTCCCCGTGTCGTCCCCGTGGTGTCCCGTGGTTGTCCCCGTGGTCGTCCCCGTGGTTGTGTCCCCTGTGTCCCGTGGTTGTCCCCGTGGTTGTCCCGCTGTTGTCCCGTGGTCGTCCCGTGGTTGTCGTGGTGTCCCCGTGGTTCCCCGTGGTTGTCCCCGTGTCGTCCCCGTGGTTGTCCCCGTGGTCCCTGTCCCCCGTGGTTGTCCCCCCCGTGGTCGTCCCCGTGGTTGTCCCCGTGGTTGTCCCCGGTCGTCCCGTGGTTGTCCCCGTGGTCGTCCCGTGTTGTCCCCTGTGTGGTTGTCCCCGTGTCGTCCCCGTGGTTGTCCCGTGGTTGGTCGTCCCCGTGGTGTCCCCGTGGTTGTCCGCCCCCCGTGGTTGTCCCCGTGGTTGTCCCCGTGGTCGTCCCCGTGGTTGTCCCCGTGGTTGTCCCCGTGGTCGTCCCCGTGGTTGTCCCCGTGTCGTCCCCGTGGTTGGTGGCCCCGTGGTCGTCCCCGTGGTCGTCCCCGTGGTTGTCCCCGTGGTTCCCGTGGTCGTCCCCGTGGTTGTCCCGTGGTCTCCCGTTGGTTGTCCCCGTGCGTTGTCCCCGTGGTTGTCCCCGTGGGTTGTCCCCGTGGTTCCCCGTGGTCGTCCCTGGTTGTCCCTGTGGTTGTCCCCTGTGCGTTGTCCCCGTGGTCGTCCCCGTGGTTCGTCCCCCGTGGTCGTCCCCGTGGTTGTCCCCGTGGTTGTCCCCGTGGTCGGTTGTTGTCCCGTGGTTGTCCCCGTGGTTGTTCCCCGTGGCGTGGTCCCCGTGGTTGTCCCTGTGGTTGTCCCCGTGTGTGTTCCCCGTTGTCCCCGTGGTCGTCCCCGTCTGGTTGTCCCCGTGGTCGGTGGTGGTCCCCGTGGTTGTCCCGTGGTTCCCCGTGTTGTCCCCGTGGTTGTTCCCGTGTCGTCCCCGTGGTGGTTCCCCGTGGTTGTCCGGTGTCCCCGTGGTTGTCCCCGTCGCGTGGGTGGTTTGGTCCCCCGCGTGGTTGTCCCGTGGTCGTGTGGTCCCGTGGTTGTCCCCGTGGTCGTCCCCGTGGTTGTCCCGTGGTTGTCGGTCCCCGTGGTTGTTCCCTTGTCCCCGTGGTCGTCCCCGTGGTTGTCCCGTGGTGTCGTGTTTGTCCCCGTTGTCCCCGTGGTCGTCGCCGTGGGTTGTCCCCGTGGTCGTCCCCGTGGTTGTCCCCGTGGTTGTCCCCGTGGTCGTCCCTGTGGTTGTCCCCGTGGTTGTCCCTGTGGTTGTCCCCGTGGTCGTCCCCGTGGTCGTCCCCGTGGTTGTCCCCGTGGTCGTCCCCGTGGTTGTCCCCGTGGTCGTCCCCGTGGTTGTCCCCGTGGTTGTCCCCGTGGTCGTCCCCGTGGTTGTGTTTTCCCCCTGTGTCCCGTGGTCCCTTGGTTGTCCCCGTGGTTGTCCCTTGTGGTCGTCCCGTGGTTGTCCGTGTCGTCCCCGTGTCGTCCCCGTGGTTGTCCCGTGGTCGTCCCCGTGGTTGTCCCCCGTGGTTGTCCCCGTGGTGGTCCCCCCGTGGTTTCCCCGTGGTCCCCCGTCCCCCGTGGTTGTCCCGTGTCGTGCCCCGTGGTTGTCCCCGTGGTGTCCCCGTGGTTGTCCCGTGGTTGTCCCCGTGTGGTTGTCCCCGTGGTGTCCCCGTGGTGTCCCCGTGGTTCCCCGTGGTTGTCCCGTGGTCGTTTCGTCCGGGTTGTCCCCGTGGTCGTCCCCGTGGTCGTCCCCGTTGGTGTCCCCGTGGTCGTCCGTGTTGTCCTTGTGGTTGTCCCGTGGTTGTCCCCTTGGTCGTCCCCGTGGTGTCCCTGTGGTTGTCCCCGTGGTGTCCCCGTGGTTTGTGGTTGTCCCCGTGGTTGTCCCCGTGGTCGTCCCCGTGTTGGTCCCCGTGGTCGTCCCTGTGGTTTCCCCGTGGTTGTCCCCGTGGTCGTCCCCGTGGTTGTCCCCGTGGTTGTCCCCGTGGTTGTCCCCGTGGTTGTCCCTGTTCCCCGTGTTGTCCCCGTGGTTGTCCCCGTGGTCCCCGTGGTCGTGTGGTCCCCGTGGTTGTCCCTGGTCGTCCCGTGGTTGTCCCCGTGGTTGTCCCTGTGGTTGTCCCTGGTGTCCCCGTGGTTTCCCGTCCCCGTGGTTGTCCCTGTGTCCCGTGTTGTCCCTGTGGTTGTCCCCGTGTGTCCCCCCCGTGGTGGTTCCCCTGTTGTCCCTGTGGTTTCCCGTGGTTGTTGTCCCCGTGGTGGTCCCCGTGGTTGTCCCCCGTGGTGGTCCCTGGTTGTCCCCGTTTGTCCCCGTGGTTGTCCCGTGGTTGTTCCCGTGTCTTGTCCCCGTGGTTGTCCCCGTGTTGTCCCGTGGTCTCCCCGTGGTTGTCCCCGTGGTTGTCCCTGTGGTTGTCCCCGTGGTTGTCCTTGGTTGTCCCCGTGGTTGTCCCTGTTTTCCCCCGTGGGTTCCCGTTCCCCGTGGTTGTCCCTGTGTTGTCCCCGTGGTCTTCCCCGTGGTTGTCCCGTGTTGTCCCTGTGGTTTGTCCCCGTGGTTGTCCCCGTGGTCCCCGTGGTTTCCCCGTGTCGTCCCGTGTCGTGTGTCCCGTGGTCGTCCCGTGGTTGTCCCCGTGGTTGTCCCCGTGGTTTGTCCCCGTGGGTTGTCCCGTGGTTGTCCCTGTGTTGTCCCGTGGTCGTCCCCGTGGTTGTTCCCTGGTCCCCCCGTGGTTGTCCCCGTGTTGTCCCGTGGTTGTCCCCTGGTGTCCCCGTGTTGTCCCCGTCGTCCCCGTGGTTGTCCCCGTGGTCCCCGTGGTCGTCCCCTGTTGTCCCTGTGGTTGTCCCGGTGGTTGTCCTGTTCCCGTGGTGTCCCCGTGGTTGTCCCTTGTGGTTGTCCCTGGTTGTCCCCGTGGTCGTCCCCGTGGTTTTCCCTGGGTTGTCCCGTGGTTGTCCCCGTGGTTTCCCCGTGGTTGTCCCCGTGGTTGTCCCCGTGCGTCGTCCCCCGTGGTTGTCCCCGTGTTTTCCCCGTGTCGTCCCCGTGGTTTGTCCCCTGGTCGTCCGTGGTTGCCCGTGGTCTCCCGTGTGTGTGGTCCCGTGGTCGTCCCGTGTTGTCCCCGATGTTGTTTCCCGTGGTTGTCCCGTGGTTGTCCCGTGGTTGTCCCGTGTGTCCCTGGTGCCCCGTGGTTGTCCCCGTCGTCCCCGTGGTTGTCCCCGTGGTCGTCCCCGTGTGGTTGGTCCCCGTGGTTGTCCCCGTGGTTGTCCCGTCCCCCGCGTCGTCCCGTGGTCTGGTCCCGTGTTCGTCCCCGTGTTGTCCCGTGGTCGTCCCCGTGGTGTCCCGTGGTCGTCCCGTGGTTCCCCGTGGTCCCCTGGTTGTCCCCGCGGTCGTCCCCGTGGTCGTCCCCGTGGTCGTCCCCGTGGTCGTCCCGTGTCGTCCCCGTGTTGTCCCCGTGTCGTCCCCGTGGTTCGTCCCCGTGGTCGTCGTCCGTGGTTGTTCCCGTCCCCGTGTTGTGGTCGTCCCCGTGGTTGTCCCCGTGGTCGTCACTGAGGTAATTTGGTTGTGAGTCTTCATTTCCTCGGGTCATTTAGCGCTCTGTTTATTGGACAATTATCAGGCTGTCTCTCGGAGATTTTGGGGTTTCTCTTCTCTGCACTTTAGGCTCGGATTTTCCTTGAGGGTCGGGGATGGGATCTTTTTCATTATTTTATTGTCTTTTTTTTGTTGTTATTTTATTTTATTATTTTTTATTTTTTTATTATTATTATTTTAGATTCTGTTTTGTTTTTTTCTTTTTTTTATGATTCGGTTGTGTGATTTTTTATTATTTTATTATTATTTTTCATTGTCTTATCATTATTATTTTTTAGTTCTATTGTTGATTTTTTCCCTCTTTAAGACTTTTTTTTATAATTTTATTATCATTATAATTTTTAAGATTCTGTTGTGTAATTTTTTGTTTTCTTTTTGAGATTCAGTTTTGTGATGTATTTTTCTTTTTAGAGATTCTGTTGTGTAATTTTCCTGATGTTTGGT